AAAACTGACCAATCGTTGCCATCAAATGCGCTAAGCCACCGAGGAAATTGTGGAGACAAAATTATATTATCGTTAAACCAAATAACAATCTTTATGTTTTTAGGAAATCATTATAAGAATATTTATGAGAATTAAATATAAGAGTCATCAATTTTAATTTACGATAACATACTTATATTGGCACATTTGATAAAAAATGACGGACGAATAAAATAATAATAACAACGGGGAAAATGTATAAATACACTCCTTCAAGCTTGGGTAAAGTTAAATATTAAGTATCAAGTATATGATATAAACTCCCCCCGAAAGATCTGCACGATAAATGGGTATTTTTTGGTTAACGTTAATGCAGAAATTATTTTAGAAAATTAAGAGCATAAAGAGCGAATGAAAGGTAAGCTTCATGCAGCAAATGATGCGATGGAATGTGCTTATGTTAATTAACTACAAAGCATATCTTCAGCAGTTTCCCTATCAGAATAAGGTAATTGTGAGAGAAGGTTTTCGTTCATTTTGGGCTTCCATTTCCAATTGTATTGTCGCTTCTTCCGTATCAGGGTACGTTGCGATTCGATTCTATCCGGCAGGATGCCAGTCTTCTTCCAACAGTTTACAATTATGGTGCGCCAGAAGTGTCAAAAGTCTGTATTAAAAGTACAGAAGATCTGTATTAAAATACACTTATTTTAAAATACAGATTCTCAAAAATGCGGAATTTCATTAGATAAATAGTTTGGTATTAATTGATATTTTTCCTCCCCTCCAATCGTTTCGTAGTACAAAAGTGTACAAACTTACATCTATGAAAAAACGGACTGGTTTTTTACCAAGACAAGACACAGAGACACTAATCTAGTTCGCAGAAACGTAAATGCGAAGTTCTAGCCTCTTTGGAAAAGAGTTAATACGAGATTACAGAACCATTACGAGTGATTGCGGGTAACTTCTAGTAACAGGAGTAAAGAACTGTGAGCGAGTGACAGGTGGGAATGTGTGTATGAGAACAAAAAGTGTAAGAAAGAAATAAAACCAGAATGAGAAATCAAAGAGTGAGAGAGTGAGAGAGCGAGAAAGTAATAGCAAAGAGTGTGATCACGATAACGAGAGGAGGTGAGTGGTATTGAGCGAAGAATCAAGTTAATCGGTATATAAAAGAGCTTAAATTCGCGTTCCATGTACTAGTAACACAGCTACAACACCTGTTTGTGTAATATCTCGATAGGTTAAACTTTTACTAATTTTTCAGCCATTTCTTAACGAAAATTGTACTTACGTATTATGAATCATTCTGAATACAATCTCTTAATGAACTTTTTCCTATTCATAAATGAGGATTTTGCGCTTTTGTCGATTGAAATTCCAGACAAAATCAGCAAAACTTTTTCGCTGACTTTAAGTGTGGCCGTTCTACTACCGACCCCTAAAGCACCGGTTCTGTTCAATAAGGATAACTATAAAGGCTTTGGTTATGACGTACTAGTATTTGCGTATTGCAATTATATACTTTACCTTGTGTTTAAGATTGTTACTGGTCACGTCGGTTTTTTTACACAACTTTGACACCAAATCACCAACTACCCATTTCATGGATCACAACTCATATTCTACACAATAGTGTGGTTACGTTCCCCAATTTTAAGCGGGAGACATCATATACAAAAGAAGAAATTCAAGAAACTTCCAGAACGACAGATCAAACTTGTTTACAAGTATCAGAAACCAAAGAGTCTCATCTAGGTACATTCAAACCCAAACTATCCATATATGACGGTAGCGCTTTGATACTAATTATTTACATCGAGCTCGTACTTTACTGCTATAACATCATATCGTTTATGAAGCATTAAAGTCCACATACGCTGAAACGCATAATTTTTACACTGTTGTACAAAACAGTAATTCTTCGTGTGTTTACATTTGATTATGTTTATTACTGCCATACGAGATATAAAGGTTGTTAGTAGCACAATCTCTTTATTACAACGTTTAGTACAGTACTATATATATACTAATACGAATTACTTAGTAAGTTGATCATTGTTTCCAGGTCACGCATGAATAGCATCGACCGTAATTGTCTTCATAATGACTTGAACGGTGTTCGGCGAGGAAACATAATTTCATATTTAAGATACAATATACAGTACAGTTTAGTAGAGTATTAATTAATGTTCGCAACGATAAATGAAATATGTGTTATCAGGATAACGAAATAGACTAGCTATGTATGTGGCGTGTGTTCATGTTCCCAATAACACTTACTTTAACAGACCATGATTCCTGTCAACTTGCTATATGCATTTATTACAAACGCCGGTCTCTGATAAACAAAGGTATAGCAAGTTTTCACAAGATGTGTAATTTGTCTGTTTATGACCCAGCTTCGATTCTTAACCTTTTCCTATTCTTTCCTGCAGCCATAGATGACGACGACGACGCCATTTGCTTTATGCAATCACCTTCTTCACAATGTATTATTGTCTGTACAAAGTCTGCAGAAGGGTACGAAGAGGTAATTACACCTACAGAACGTGAAGATGGAATGTGAGTCAAGTATTGGGATGTTTGGTTGATGAGTATTAACGTGACTACGTTTGGGTGGTGAAAATCGTACGTTAGACTATCAAGCTTAGTTTGACATTCTGTGCACTATAGTTTGAAACTTGAAGAGTAACGACTTCAATTTATTTGCCTACAAGCAAGAATTTTAATCCCAATGTTTTGATCAGCGAATTGGAGTAGTAATACATCGTTACCATATACAATAGTTGCAAGC